TTCAGTTGGAAATTTTTTCCCAAAAAATAAAATAACTCATGACCACAAATAATACTGAAAAATTTTTCTGTGTACAAACTGAATTCAAACATCCATTAGTATTCATTTATTTATTTATTTATTTATATCGAGGGGGGGGGGGAGAGGGGAGGGAACAGAAGAGTGTTTCAAAGAGGTAAAAGAGACAGGCACAAAGGTATAAAAAAGGTGAGGCGAGTAATGTGGATGTAATCAAATATGCCATACAGCGGGGTCATGGTTGTTTGAAGTCAGAAGCCAACTGCCAGTTAATAGACTTTTTGCCGTATGAATATACGTTGCCCAGGGTGCACCACGTGGAGGTAAGTCTATCCTTTTGTAACTTATAAGATTCCTTATTGTTTTCTCTACTATTAACTCTAAGTCATAATTGATATCTTCTAATTCCCTCCGACAATCACTTTTCCTCATTCTGCTCTCTTGCAATTATGTTGTCAGTGTAACAGATCTCAATAGGGTTTACGCATGTTCAGCTCTGATGGTAATATGAGTTTGTTTGTCTCTGTCCCATAAAATAAAGGTGAAGCCTAGATGCATATATTTTACGGCTCGAATACTCCTAAGATCTCCTGTAAGTCCAAAGTAACATTTGAGGACTTAGCATAAAGCCGTTTTCTCGATTCCCTATCAATAACACTATCATGGCTGATAAAATAAATCTCATGTGCACTCAGGCAGACTCGAAGATGTTATTTGTCGCAGTTGGGAGCTCAGAGACCCCTCACCCAGCCACCAATCAACGCGTTCTACGCCGTTCGCCTGTTTACTCTATATTGAAACATCATTTGATTTCAGTCAGTTAAGAAGAAAATGATGCTTCGCTACAACTGCAGAAATATGTATAGAAAATGAACTGAAGAATATAAAGAAAAAGGGAGTGAACAAAAACAGGTAAGAATATTTCCGAGGTTGTTTCAGAAGCAGGATGCAGCAGAGAAAAGGTGGCAGGAAAGAGTTAGATTTGTCCAAAGTGTTCCAGTTTTAATGCTATAAGCTATTTGGCTATTTCAAATGATAAGACCTGATTCTTTCGTATTCATTAACTTTACGCTCGCGCATTTTTTCTTCTATAAATATAGTAAATAAAGTTTACAATTTCAATAATAAAAGAATTAAATTGTAGGAATATAATTCGAGTTCAAGAAATTCAAAACTTTCGTCATTGAAATATTAATTGTTCTACTAAAATTAAATTCCTCAAACTTTACGATAAATATTACAATTAGCGACATAAATAATCTTACAAAACATAAATTAATTTATAATGCAAATGAACGTATATTTAGCAATATGTAGTCTCTTGTTCTTCAATTTTCAGTTAATCTTATTATCAAATAGAAATTTTCGCATTAGTATAGCGCGCATATGTTAAAGTGTGGTTTGTATTATTTTAACCCATTTGGTTACTGTCAGTGTGGTTCGTGTACATGTGCTATAACTAATTGCTTGATTTGTGTTTTGTGATTATTAAAATTTTGCATTTTTGTAGAAATGGCCGACTTTCCTTCCAGTTTTGCCAAAAGGCAATTGGAAAAGTTTGGATGGTCCAGTGGTATTTTTCATATTATTTCGTTTCCATTGTTTTGCGATTTTTAAATAAATAAATATTTTATTTGTAGGATCTGGTTTGGGGAAGAATAATAATGGTATTGCGGAGCCAATTAAAGTTAAAAAGAAATTCAGTCGGTTAGGCCTTGGTGCCACTTATGATCTATCTAAAAACGAAGATGATTTTTTTGACAATTTATACAATAAAGCTGCCAAGGGTCCTAAAGACAACTCTCCAGACAAGTCCACCGGTTCTCTTACCGTCACATATGACTCATCTAAGCTAAAGAGACAACAGAAAGTTGCCTTCCAACTGCGTACCGTTTTGAATGGTGCCAAAGATACTGATGCCGAACAGAAGGAAAAGAATAGGCGAAAACGTCAAAAAACTCCTACGCCCAACACTGGAACTTCAGATAGTTCAAATAATGAGGAGGAACAATTTCCAAACAAGAAGTCCAATAAGCGTAAAAGGAAATCAAAAGATTTCCTTCCTCACAGCTTTTCGGATTCCTCTTTGCTTGATTTTGGAAAATTATCCAGAAAACCAACACTTGGAAGTGGAAAGCTGGCCAGGGCAGCTGAGTTTATTTGAAACCTTCGTATTTCTAACATCTGTGATTATGTATTATATTCTATTGTATATTTATATTCCCTTTTTATCTATTTGCCAGTATTGTCGTCTTGTAGTTTGAGTAGAAGTTTATTCCTATCTAGTTACTATGGGAAAAAATTCACTTCCACCCTGGTGTGTTAGTGGTTCGGTGGTCAAGTTGCGCATCTATCAAATTAGAGGTTGCAAGACTAATGTTCGTAGGCAAATGCTGAGTTGATGCCGTTAGTACAATTTGGTCAATGAGATGCTTACTCTTAATCAGATTAACCACTCGTTGACGCCGAAATTTTGATTTCGTATGTGGAAGGTATCCTCCGCCTATTGGCATTATAGCATGCCTCAAGTTGACTGGGAATAAACAATGCACTTGACCATCCACTTTTCTTTGAAATCACCGAAGTTGTCGACTATGGGCTCAAGTGTGCACGTTAATAGTTGTACTAACAGCCCTGAGGTATGTCGCTACTTGAGAAGTTTTTTAATGCTTTTTGGAAGAAAATATTCCTATTTTTTGGAAGGCATCCTATCACCTTTCTTTTAAGGTGCCATTTGTTTACTGAACATCATAAATAAGGTGATATATTAACCACTGCGATTTGAAAGCTATTGTACGTCAAATTTAGCATGGGCAGGGCAGTTTGTAGTGTCTTGTTATTTTTATGTCCCTACCAGTCGAGAAATTTACTTGTCTGTATTGAAATTGCCTTTTATTTGATTTTGATGCTATTGTGTTTTGTTGGGTTGATCATTGATTCCCATTCTTGATTTAGTGTTTAGACGTGTTTTGGTGTGCTGTCAAGCCAAATTAATTAGAGGTAGAAATCAGAAGAATTGCATCCCCGAGGCGTTTAGTGACTAAAGTTTGTCACTAATTTCGCTCTTAATTCGTTTTAATGTGCTGGGTTAGCTTAAACAAGTCATTAATATAAGTTGACCATGCCGTGAGAGGGACTGTTATATTTATCAGGTATCTTATATTTCTTCATCTTGATACTAGTAATATAGGAATCTGGAAGATTGAATTACAGAAGACTAAGCATCATCCAAGGTCCATTTAGCAAGACAGTACGCAAAAATGGAATTATGCTCCTGTGAATAAGTTGATGTACACTTATATGCATTATACACATTTTTATAAATAGTGCGAAGAGAGATGAATTCGTAGTGAAGTGAACAGCTCAGCGTACTAACCTGGGAGAGCATGTGATGAAATCGATGCCGTCATGATTGGGCAAACCTGTCTTAAAGGAGATGAGGTGATTAGGTCAACAATTAAGCACTGGCTTTAAGTCACTATAAGCTCGCTTCATTTTATTGATTATCAATAGTCAGCTGGAAGGTCTATTAGTTGATGCATTTCACTTTTTGGTTTAATACACAAAATGATTACAACTCTGTACCGGGGGCTTTCAACTTCTACGGATATAAGTCGACAAACGACTGCAGCAGAAAAGGGGTTGTATAAGTTAAGAAGTGAGTTGAGAATTCGAGGTTTAAAAACAAAATTAATGAGACTACCGAATGCAAAAGGAATAAATGCATGCCGCAAATCCACTTGATTAATACAGGCATAAGCGGCCTCATTTTCGGGTGCATTGCTTAACAAGCTTTAGAAGTTGAAGTGACTTCAAATACGGCGTAATTGAAATGTGCTATAAGAAGAGCATGGCTTCAAAAGGTTAACTTAATGCTTATACTGACAGGCGGAGATACTAGCCACTAATGCTATAAGAAAAATCGCCCTCGTCAGGGCAAATCACAATATCTTCATATCCTCTAGTGGAATGCTGGAGGATTGTCTCCGGACGAAAAGATCCAAATACAGAAAA